TTAAAGCTTATCTTTAGTGAGTATAGACAAACTTTTTCTGTGATATCTGATGACCATTCGTGTGCTGGTTTTGGCTGGGGTAGAGTTAATTTTTTCCATAGTAGCTAGTATGGGGCTGTTTTGGATTTGTGCTGGAAACAGTGTTGGTAACACAGGGATGTTTTCGTTACTGCTGAGCAGTGCTGACACAGGGTCAAGGCCTTTTCTGCCTCTCACCCCACCCCACCAGCGAGCAGGCTGGGGGTGCACAAGAAGTTGGGAGGGGACACAGCCGGGACAGCTGACCCCAACTGGCCAAAGGGATGTTCCACACCATATGACGTCATGCTCAGCATATAAAGCTGGGGGAAGAGGAAGGAAGGGGGGGATGTTCGTAGTGATGGCGTTTTGTCTTCCCAAGTAACTGTTAGGCGTGATGGAGCCCTGCTTTCCTGGGGATGGCTGAACACCTGCCTGCTGATGGGAAGTAGTGAATGAATTCCTTGGTTTGCTTTGCTTGCATGCGCGGCTTTTGCTTTAAACTGTCTTTATCTCAATCCATGAGTTTTCTCACTTTCACTCTTCTGATTCTCTCCCCCATCCCACTGTCAGGGAAGTGAGCAAGCGGCTGCGTGGTGCTTAGTTGCTGGCTGGGATTAAACCACGACAATTGGCAAACCACTAGGGTTTTTTTATATTTCTTAACTGTCCTAAATCTAATACGCAGTGAGATAGCTCATCCTTCTCTAGAGAAGGAGGGACAGGCTTGGGACAGCGCACAAGGAGTGACCCTTTGGAGGCGAAAATGAGAAGAATCTTCACGGCCTAGGACTGAATCTGAGGTTTCTAACTTTTGCCAGTTAGATCTGCTGTGAGCAAACATCTGAAAGTTGTTGGCCAAATGAACCTAGAATTAACTTGGGCAGTGGGCAAGATTAGAAATTCATAATTAGTATCCACCTGCAAAGAGTGAGGGGCAGGATTAGTACCATGTAGAAAATATGATGCAAAAGCAGGGAGACACTGCTGTCTTTACTTCAGGATTGAACTTTATCGCCAGACCGGGAGTCCTCTGTACCTGCCCCTTCTCTGCATCCGTCTACAGCTTCCGCAGCAACTTCATTCACTATGAAATTTGGCTGTTTCTAACTTCTGAATGCTTAACTTTCTATGCCTCAATAGATTGTCATTTTGCTTTTCCGTGGCAACGATGCTTTCCTGAGTTGCGCTGAAGCTGTTTGTGCCTTCTAGCCCTGCTGGTGCAGAGTAAGGCCCCTGCATCGTGTAATGAACCAGCCGGGCCAGAACTGCCAGGCAGAGGGTACAGAGCCTCCTGCCCACCTCTGTTAGGATCTCCAGGGCTGCGTATGCATTCACAACAAAACGACCCGGGAAACACTGGACATCTGCCCGGTCTCCTGCTGTGTTCAGATCAGAGCGCCTACGCTCTTGCTAGTGTGCTTTCAGAGCCACACAGGAAAAGATGTAAGCACTCTGATCTACGAACGGCGCAGATAAAAACCATGTCATAGAACTAGGGCCACCTCTCCTGTGAATGAGCATCCACACAAAGGTTTAATGTAATTTATATGATAAACAATAACTTTACATCTTTAGCTAATTCATCTTATCCTTCCTGTGCAGTAATCAAATCCTCCAAGTAATCAAATCCTATGCTCATTATAATCACAGCTTGCTCTAGAACAGCTGTTATGCATTTATTTTCTCCCAAAACAGTCAACCTGTAGCAGTTGCACAGGCAAATACAGTGAGGTTTTGCAATTTGGCACTCGTATCTGAGAAGCAGCAATGACCAACGTGTACTCCAGCAAACTTTAGTAAAGCAGTGAAACGTATAATCATTTTAAACTGCACATTTTGGATCCCCTTGTGGGTGGGAGAAGGCACGTTCCCTCCATATTCAAAAAATTCATGATGTATACGTGTTTACACGAGTGAACCTCACAGGACATACAGCAATATACGTTTCCCAAAATAGCTGAGATGACAGCTGAGCTTTGAGCTATAAACATTTATTTACTTGGTAGCAGAGAGCAGAAAGCGTGTGGCAGGGCTATTCTTTGAAGCCCGAATACATCCACAGAGACCGTGAAGTACAAGCTTACCTAAATATTTAGAAAGCACACAGCAGAACTGTTGCGCGTTTGAAACCTGCCGGAACCAGGCAGCCGTGGCAGCACTGGCGCGAGCCGCTGTGACGAGAGCGCGTTTCGTACTTTGTCGTTTCCTTGTTCATGTGCTTTAGAGCGAGGGGGTCGTGGCCGGGCAGAGGCCGGGCTGATGAGTCCCTCGGGGAAGCGGAGGCAAGAGGGGAACAGGGAACGGAAAGCGCGGGTCGAGCACCAGAGTGAGGTTTTTACGATACTCCCCTTTAATGGAGGTGCGTTTAACACCGAAATAAACCCACCGACCTCCGCACGGGGAATCGCCTCCAGTTCGGACGCCGGCTCGCTCAGCAGGCGCGGACACACAGCGGCACGGGGCACACCGCAGATGATGATGTCGGCAGGGCGTTTCTTTTCCTGCGGGCAGGGGAGAAGCCTTCGGGTCGGCTCAGACCGGACAGGCAGGCGCCTTCCTACGGCAACGAAGCGACACGGGGGCGAACTCCGAGGCGACGATGGACGATCCGTCACTCGCCGCCTCGGCGCAGTACCGGGACGAGGCGCGCGCGCGTGTACACAGGTGACACGTGTGTGACGCAGCGATCGCCGCCTGTCCGGAGCCCCTCGCTTCCGCAATACGGGTTCCGGGACTTTAACTACCAGTAT